TTTCTGAGGGAACTCAGTGGGGTCTTTTTTCTTCTGCAGGTGAATGACACTGCAGCTGCAGACACAGACCTCCTGTTCCTCTTTGACAACAAGAAGGTTTCCTACGAGGCTCAGGTGGCCTTGCGTCCTCACCCAGAGAGCGTCGACTGCATCCGTAAGGACTTTACATGAACCTGAGAGGGGCCTGTGTTCTGTGCTCTGTGCCCTGTGCAAACAGCAGAGAGAGCTTTGCACACTGGGGACTGAAGCAGCAGTAAAATGGACTGGCACAGCATTCATTCAGCTTGTCAGAACAGCTGAGAAAAGGAAGTGTTTGATTTTGGGACGGGGGGAACTGGGCTTGGCAGGAGGTGACGTGCCCTCAAAGGAGCAACGTTTGAGGCTGCTCTGTCGTGTGATAACACCACTCTTGGGCTTCACGTTGACATGTACGTTTGTCTTTCCCTCCCTCCCCCCTGTGTTTGTAGTTCAGGATCCCAAGAAGAACCTGCACTTCTTCCAGCTGCGCAGGGTGTGGGGTCAGATCTGGCACACGATCCGGGTGCTGAAGGAGGACTGTCACCAGCTGCAGCAGGGGCAGCGCGCGGCCATGTAGGGGCAGCTCTGGGACACTGCTCTGGGCTCTGGGGACAGGGGAGGGCTGGGAATGGGGCCCTGCTGGAATGGGAAGCCCCTGGGTGGAGCTGTAAACTATTACTGAAAAGCTGGGAGTGCTCAGTGCCCCGCTGTGAGGCTGTGCTGTGCTCTGAGTGCATTTCCAGCCTGGGGGGCTGAGAGCACCTTCCTGTCCCTGCAGGATGAACCTGCTGCGTTACAACAGCACCCTCTCCAAGATGAAGAACTCCATGGCCTCCCTTTCTCAGCAGCTGAAAGCAAAGCTGGACTTCTTTAAAACAAGCATCCAGATCGATCTGGAAAAGTATAAAGAGCAGATTGAATTTGGAATTAGTGAGTATAGCATCTGGAAAACATGCCTTTTCTTCCCACAAAATACCTACCTCTTCCTCTATGAGCCTGAGAAATCCAATGTCTCTTCTTTCATTCCTGTAGCTTCTGAGAAGCTGCTGTTTGCCTGGAAAGAGATGGAACAAGCTGTGGAACTTTGTGGGCGGGTATGTTTCTAAATAACTGTTTATCCTAAAGAAAAAGAGGCTTGTTTTCATTATCTTTTTTCCCCCCTTTTTCTCCTCATTGTTCCCCCTTAGACAGAAACTTCTTGTGTCTGGACTGAGTCCAGATTTCACATTGCCTTGGTTTGGGTGACACCATTTTTGTCCATTACTGGTATTTCATGAAGCTCACTCTGTTGGAGGAGGCAGGGGCAGAATGTCTGTCTTAACAAGCAGCAGCTTCTGCTTGTGAATGGGTTCAAGTGAAAAGCAGGATTTGGGGTGCCAGGAGTTGATGTGGTTATGAAAAGGGGAAAAGTGGTAATGGAGAGGATGAGAGGTCTGGAGCAGCCAAGGAAAAGGGAGAAAGGTGGCCTGGGAACTGGCAGCACATCTACTACAAAGTCTGACCCTTCAATTGCTCTTTGTCACAGGCTGAATTTTTCACCAAAAAATTCCTGGAAGTTGTCTTATCCAAGAGCACAAACCTGATTTCTTTGAATTGAAGGGACTTCTGTTCTCCCTTGTCTTTGGCCAAGGCTGCTGTTTGCACCCTGCTGATGTGTTTGAAAATGTGAAGGAGGAAGGAAGAGCTGATGTGAGTGGTCATGTCTGAGTGTGACACTTGTGTTGCTGATGCTCTGCCCTGCTTTCAGGAGGATGATGTGGATGAGCTGGTGAAGAGGATGATGGCCCTGCAGACAGACATTGTGGACCTGCAGAGAAGCCCACTAGGTCGTAAACAGGGAGGAACCCTGGAGGATTTGTGAGTTGAACTACCTTGAACTTCAGATGCAGGACTATTTCTAGCTAAGCTGACCCAGCACAGGACAATGAAAGGGCTCTTTCCTCTGCCCAAATCATGGGGTGCTGGGAGGACTTCAACACTAAAGGCAGTTTTTGACTCATCTGCCATCGGTCTGAAGTGGCAGACTGGCACAGAAAAGATTCAACTTCTCAAACTATTTGTTCCTTATTTTGGTTCTTGAGAAGTCATTTGTTTTCTCTGCCTTTTTCTTCTAGAGAAGAACAAGCCAGAGAGCTGTACCGGAGACTGAGAGAGAAGCCAAGAGGTAAAAGACATTTTAGCTCAAGGTCAGCTTGCTTTGTGTGGATGGTGACTTCAGGGATGTAGCAATGACCACTGAGGAAACTTTCTGTGCATTCTAGGCCTGCCCACACATTAGCTGTGCAGGGACTCTGCTGGACCTACCTTCTTTTGGAGAGGGGAGTCAGGGAGTCAGTTTTACACTGGGCCAGCCTTGCTTTCTTGGCACCTTCTGAGCTCTTCCTGAAGCTCCTCTGGAGCTCTGCTCAGAGCAGGCTGGTGCCACAAGCATCTGCTGCTGCTTCTGTGTAGGGTGAGAGCCGTGGCTGTTCCTTGAGCAGCTGTACAGGCCCAGCTCTGCTTTCCAGTTCTTAAACCTTTGAAAAGGTGGATAAAATCCAGTGCAGTGCATCCCACTCCAACTTGCATGCCCTGGACTTGGGGTGTTCCAGGGTTGAAGCAGCAGTGGAAACAAACCACCAAGAATCTTCTCCCTCTATCCCATAGGCCTTTCTTTGTGTGTAACACTCTGGGTCTCGTTCCAGATCAGAGGACAAGCGGTGACAGCCAGGAAATTGTCCGACTGCTGCTCCAGGCAATCCAGACCTTCGAAAAGAAAGTTCGAGTCATTTATGCTCAGCTCAGGTGAGCTTGGTAGATTTTACTGAGGGTTCAGAGAAAGCATTTTCTCTTTCAGCAGGAGAATGTTTAAAACCCAGTGCACACAGGGAACAAGTAACTTCAGAAATGTTTCCCTGCTGCAGTGGCCCGTGTGTGACCTGATCCGGTTTTACTTTTTTAACAGTAAAACTGTGGTTTGCAAGCAGAAGGCACTGGAATTGTTCCCCAGAGTGGAGAAGGTGATGAATCTGATGCGTGAAGATGAGGAAACCGTTGTTAGGCTTCAGGAGAAACGGCAGAAAGAATTGTGGAACTTGCTGAAAATTGCTTGTGTAAGTAAAATAAAAACTCCACTTTAACCTAAAAATATGGTTTGTAGCACAGGTTACTGAAATAATAGTAAGTGGAGTATGTCCTATGGTTCTTGCCTTTGTTATTTTGAATTAGTGTTAAAGCCAAGTTCCAGGTTGTCTCATACTCCTGTCTGCTGAAAACTAGTGGAAATAATTGCAATCTGAATATTCTGTGCTTTCTTCAGAGTAAAGTCCGTGGTCCTGTCACTGGCAGCCCAGAGAGCATGAACACATCTCGTCTTGGTGGCCCTGGTCAGCTGCTGCTGCAGGTCCCTTCTGACACCTACCATTTATCAGACTCTGTAAGAAAAAGGTGAGGCAAGTCTGGAGTATGAATTATGAATTATGACCTGAGTGCCTTCAGTGTCTGCAGCATACCTGCCAGAAATATTTCAGAGGTAGAAGCAGTATCTCTTTAAACTGCCACAGAAAATAATAGTGTGATAATTGTCCCTTTCAGTGAGGAGCTGCTGCTGGAATCACAGAAGCTTTGTAGCCAGCTAGAAAATGTGATGTATGACACAATGAAGGATCAGGAGCAGAGCTTCATGGTAATGTATTCATTCTTCTAGAGACTGGGGAAGCTCTTGGCTTCAAAGTTCTGCTTGTGTAGCTTTGCCACCACTCAGTAATACAGCTGATGGAAATCTGGGATTTACCTTGGACAAGGAGAACAGGAGCTGTGGAGGCAGGAAGCACCTGCTCCTGACACACTCTGTGGCACTGGGGCTGGTGGGGTGAACAGTAAAGGAGGGGGCAGTTGCTTGGCTGTTGTATCCAAATACTGCAAAAGTGCACTCCTAAATCTGGTGGCAGTACAGGGGGGGCAGGGATGCAGAATATTAAAAAGAGAGCAAAATATTAGAGAAGTAAGTAACTTAAGGGTTTCTTTTACAGCAGTCACATGGCTTATCTTGAAACTCTACTGCCCAACTTGTTCACAGTAATTTTTTTTAATTCTTTTAACTTGCTTCTCCTTTACTCTAGAGAAAGCTCAACTGTAAGCAGGTGTTGAACTTTGCAGTTCTGTTTATTCTTCAGGCTCTAGACTGGAGCTGGCTGCAGCTTCAGGCAGAAGAAACAAACAGCCCCGAACAAACCCAGATGTGAAATCATGACAGTCGCCCCTGGAGACGCTGCTTTGGGAAGCCAAGTGTGAAAAGCTGCTGCCCCCCAGAAGGGAAGATCAGCTGCCTCCTTCTACTGTCACCTGCTGCTCCTGAGATACACACACAGCCTGGCTTTGTATCCACCTCCCAGACACTGCTCACAAAGCTACAGTAGGAAATGCCTGTTCTAACTGCCTGGAAAACCTTCTTAATTGTGCCTTATGACAGCAGATATTCTTATTCTCTGTCCTGATATATCTTCCCTTAGGCATCACCTGTGGCTGTTCTACTGCATTTTAGGCTTTCTGATGGAACAATGGACAATGTTTGCCCAGGCACTGGTAGATGTCACCTTTGTAATATACTTGAACTGTGAACCTCATTTCTTAACTCTGCTGATTTGCACTTTTTTTTTCTTTAAGTGTAATGGTTGTACTTACCTAATACTTGTTTCCTATATGGGAACGAAATTATCTAAAACATGTAAACTTTTGGTTTGCTCTTTTTGATACCATCAATAACATTTTAATGGAAAAAGCTGCTTTCACTGTGCAGGTCTCTAAAACATGACAGGTGTAAGGATGTTATCCCAGAAACCCCAGGAGAAGGAAATGCTCAGTGTGCAGGTACAGTGTGACAAAGCATTTGCAGGTTTTCTATTAGCCATGCTTAAAGGTGCATCAAAAGAAAAGAAAAAAGAACAGCCAGAGGGAACACAGCTTTGCTGAACCTGGCTCAGAGTCAAGACACACCAACCTTCTGTTCCGACTGGGACCAATTTATTTCATTCCGATGTAAACCCAAATTTCCACTACAGCACAGCGACCACCTTTAGAAAAGGCTGTGGAGTACAGGACATGCAAAATGCAATACAATAAGGGGGAGAGGTTGGATTTTCTTCTGTTTTTTTAGGAACAGATTTAAAATACAGGAAACTGAAATGTGGCACAAACATCACAACTTCCATGCATGCCTTCAAGTGTCTTCCTCTGTTGTGCTGGCACTCTCTGGACCTTCAGCAGTGGGTTAAAGTCGTTCTTTGGAAGAGCAGAAAGTTCACACTTCTTCAAATTTCAGAGTATATTAAGGCCGAAACACACTGGGTTATACTTTTCCTTCACCTTCCAGAGTACCACCAGTTGTTTTACTTACAGCTGTGTTAAGCTTCCAGCTCAAATCCCAGCCCAACTTTGTGACCTCCAGAACTGAAGTTCTTGCCATCAATCAAGCCTGAGACGGTCAGTTTAACACCTGTGGAAGCAAGTCATGGGAGCCATCACACCCTGGGAGCCTGTGCAGTGCCCTCCCTCAGGTACCCGACCCCAGCACTGCCTCTGGACCCCAGTTCCTAAAGCAAGGGAGATCCCCCTTCCTTCTGGGAGTCTGTGCAAAACTTTGAGCTCCTCTGTGCATCTGTTCTGTTCTAAAGATGCCAGGAAATCACCCCCAGTGTAGCATTGACACTGTTTGCTGCCCCCAGTGAGACTCACGTACCAGGTCGGAGGGCATGAGTGTAGCCCAGTCCAATGAGGCTGGCATTGTTCACTTTACCCTGCAGGAAAAAGGAAATCACAGCATTTATACACTGTGCAGAAATATCCAGCACTGTCCCAGTGCCCTGAGAAGGTGGCTCATGCATTAACTCTCTTCAGCTACTTGTAGAGTAACCTCTGTCAGAAGCACATTCCAATCTTTTCTCAAGTTTCCAGCCCAAGCAATCTTCTCCTCAAATGGTGGCCCCATTATGCCCAGATAAAATGCCACCCTGTTCTTCACTGCCCCCAGCACTGTGTCTTCATACCCTTTAAAGAGCTCCTTGCTGCAGTCCCTCAGAGCCAAAGAAGTCTGTCTTGTTCACATCACTCAGGAGTGACTTTTTTCATTTAATGAGCAATAAATATATGAATATGCAACCCCCTTTTTTGCATTGCTAAGTTTTGAGCTGTTTACAATAGTATTTCTCATCTTTAATTCTGGCTGAATTGTCCTGGAACTGAGTCTTGTTTTGAAGCAAAACAAATGCTTGTTTTCACACTAAGAACTGAAGCAGCACTGACTTCATGTGTCAGCTGACTTTGGAGGGTCAGCTCAGGAGAAGGCTGAGCTTCCACCACTGGAACTGAAATACTGTTTTAGGTTATGGATTAGAGAATTCAAACACTACAGCCTTTCATTACCTTCTGACACACACCTTGCAGGGCTCCAAACACACTAATCAGACCATTTCACTGTGGACAAAATTACGGTTTAGATTTATTTTTTTTTCCTAATTTCACAAGTATAACCTGTGAGGTCCCAATTTAAATTTGAACCACAACAAAAGCCACAGTTTGACCTCTACCATACTCCCTCAGTAACTAGTCAAAGCAACTACTTCCTAACACAAATTTTCAGTATTTGAAATAGTCATTTCTTTAACAAAGTTCTTACCACAACAGAAGTCTTGTCATCCAGCTGGTACTTTGCAGCAATACCAAAACGTGTGTTGTTACTGCCAGCAGTCCATGCAAGATTGACTGATGTCTCAACCTTATTGTTAACCTTCTGATAAATAGAGCCACCAAACTCGGTGCCATCATTCCTGTTTGAACAGATGCAAGAGTGTCAGGCCTTGCCTTGTCCAGTAACTCTTGAGGTCAGCCCTTCCCCACAATCATAATGAACAAGACTTTCCAACAGCTGAGACCTACGTTTTGAGGCTCTGACAGAAAAAATAAACCCAGGTAACCTGGTTGCTTGTCTCAAGCCAACCTGTGGTAACACATGAAGGGACAAATCCAGGAGACTTCAGTTCTGGCAGTGCTGAGACTGAGAACAATGTTACTGCAGTGCAGTTGTTTAAATGCACCATCCTCTGACTCTCAGAGGTCTGAATGCCCAGGCCAGAGCTGCAATGACAGCCCAGCACAACAGAGGCCTCTCTCCTTCACCTTGGGCAGTTCTGAGGGACAGCAATGGTGGGGAGGGGGAGAAGGTACAGTAGTTTAATTGAAGGCTCTTTGATCTAATGCCAGAACAGAAGTTAAAAGTTCACAGATTTAAATTCCAAATTAACACTTATAAAGTGCCTCTACATCACTATCTTACATACACAAACCCCCACATTACTCTCGGACAAGCTATCAAGGCAGATAAGAGCTGGAAAGTTGCCCTGTTTTAGTAGCACTGAAAATAAAAACACTGAATACAAATTATTTGGAAACAAATCCCCTTCCATCCACCTACCTTTGACCTAAGTCCACTAATGCAACTATTCCTCCAGTTTGGCTCCCCTGGTAATGTTTCTCTAGGCTCAGAGAATACTTACACATTAGTGTGCAGCTGAAAGTCTCCTGCTGTATATCCCAAGGCAAAGTTATTTTGTGAAAGCTTGTACTTGGCTGTATCAAAAGCCATCTGGTAGCCAGCCAGCCAACCCTCATAGCCCAGCACTGCCCAGCCATAGATGGTGGGCCCAGCCAGGTCAATGTCTACGTTGCAGCCTACATTTATATATTCTCTTTTGTAGGAGGTCTTCAACTTTGCACTCTTCTTCCTGCAGAGACAAAATGCCATTTTACCCGTGGCAGTGCACAGGGGGGTGTGAGACCTGGTTCATTCAGGTATTTAAGTATTTACCCTGTGTTCGGTACAAATGTAGTGTCAAGAGCCAACTTCAATCCTCCAGCCAACTGCAAAGAAAAACCAAGACACCTGCTCAGAACTCTGCTGAAACATGGTTTGTTACACTCACTACTAGAACTCTGCTTCCTGTCTAAAGAGAAAACAAAACACGACCATGTGTTTGAATCCCTCCTCCTGCAGCATCTTCAGAGTTCACTGTAAAACATGAATGGCCACACAGGGCAGAGGCACCACAGGATTTTCACTCTCTTTGGCACCTGTTCAGCTCCAGACTTTCTCACACCAGCTGCAGAAACGTTTCCAAATGATCTGCTTCCTCTTACCTTATCCTCCACAGCAACCTCTGTTGCCAGCATGTTATCTGTGTTCCACTTCTGGGTGAACGTCACTCCCTGTTCTTTCATCTTGTATTTGGTCTCCAGGCTGCCCGAGGCCTTGCCCGTGTCCGTGTTGGAAGAACCAGTTGCAGTGAAGTCCTGGCAAGAGCATAACATGAGTTTCAGCACTCCTGAGGTTCAATTACATTCTGTTTTTCCACTTGTAAGGAATTAGGTTCTAAGAAGCATCTGAGAACGGCCCTCATTTGTTATCCCCATCTCTCAAGTATTTTCCTTGAGAAAAGATAAATAACCTGTCATTACATTTCCAAGTTATGTCTCTCTTGAAGTTTAAATACTGAAAAATACAGTGCTTAAGAGATGGCAGCATCCATTTCCAATATATCCAAGCTTTGGAACCCTGACTTTCCAGATCCTTGTCATTCCAGGACTATTCCTGCATGCTGTGTACATAACCTTCACAATTCTGGACTTTGCAGAGTGTCCAAAGACACAAAGACTGTCAGTAAATGGTTTGGAAGTGCCAGGTAACAGTTTGGGGCAGTGGGGGATGCTGCAGGGGAGGGACAGGCACTCCAGCTAATGCAGCACTACAGGAGCACAGCAGTTGTACCACACATGGAGCCAAGAGACATGTGACAGAGTCAGGATGTGTTGGACTGTCCTTCAGACATCACTGCCCCCAGGGCTCTGATGCCACTCTCACAGAGTCAGTAAAGACATCTCCACCCTGCCTCAGAATTCAGAAGGAACTTTCTCCTGAGCTTAGAGCTCCAATTAAAAGGCTTGGCTTGTTCCTCAGATCAAGCAAAGGGAAGGCTGTAAACACTTGTCTCAAAGCCAAAGGCAAAGAACTGCACTGTCACATGATCCAAAGCCAAAGCATTTTGTCAGGTGCCAGGAACTAAAGCTGTTCTGGAAGCAGAAGGCACAAGCCAACATCTGCTGCCATCAATCTCTGCCCGTGTCCCCCCAGGGCAGCTCGTGGAGAAGCATTTCTGGAATTCTTTGTAGCTGAAAAATCAAACTCATTCTGGCTCCGTGTCACACCCAGCTGGGGCAGCAGCCAAGCACAGCTTCCCACTGACCTTCCAGCTCATGGTGCACCTTCAGCAGTGCCATGCACTCAGCAGGCAAAGCCACTTGCAATCTCTGAACAGTTATAACCAACAGACACTATCATTGTTGTTTTCTAAGTCCACAGAAAACACCCAAATGTTTCTGTACCAGAACAACCAGAGGCACTATCAGTACCCACGCAGGAACTGGATCTCACACTTTGTTCCCTACCTCAGCTCCATCCCCAAATGCCCACTTTGCTGCAGCAGAATGCTCAGCAGAAACACCAACAGCACAAAATCTGAAGCATCAGACAACTGTATCAATACCACACCTATCCTGTTTCCCCCTGCTGTTCTTACAGTGTTCTTGTTGTGGACTGTTGGCAAAGATTGCAAATGGCTTTACACACGTGGATGAAACAGCAGATTTAGAGCTCTGGACACAGTCAAACTGCACAAGGTGGATGATAACAGGACTACACCCAGTGGAAAGGTTCACAAGTGACAGAATGCACCACAGAACACAAGGAGGACAAAGCAATGAAGAGCCAACATGCCAAAACAGTCACTATTCTTACCAGCTGGATAAACATCCAATGAAAATTGCATGGAAAAGAAAAAGCCCATTTTAGAACTTCCTACAGTTGTTCATGTTCCATCACACTCCGAAGACAGCAAAATTAACTATTTGCATATTATTTGAGAATCAAAACTTCCAGCCAGGAAAACTGCATATCAAGAGATGTCAGTAAGTGTAGAGACCACAGACCTATGTGTCCCTGGAGCACAATGCAAGTGACCCACCAAAAGCACACCTGGGCCAGAATACAGCAGAACTAAAGTAAGCACTTACCACATTTGCATGACAAGAATGCAAGAGAAGGAGGGAGCTAAGGCAAATATGTTTATGAAGGAGGCTGAAAAGCAGCACCATCTCATCAATCAGAAGAGCATCAAGTGGGATCATGTACAGAACTGAGAGTCAGTGTAAGAAAAATATTATTTAGTAAACAACATATGCCTCTGGTAAAGCTCAAAATTATGTTTTGCCTCCTGTGAAATCGTGAGGAAGCTGCATTTCTCCATCATTAAAGTGCAGATCGTAACCTTTTCTAGTTACTTCAAGTGCTAAAGTTTAATTAAGCCCTCAAATTCTACATAAAAGGTATTGCAGAAGGACTGTTTAGTTTTAATTAAGTCTTGAAGTGAAAATGAAGTTAAACTGTGGTGCTTATGTGCCACTTGGCCTTTTGGATAAAAGTCCTTCCAGACTCAAAATCCTACAAAAACCAACAGCAGCAGGGAGACTCAAACCCATTCCTAAGCAGAAATGAGAGCTGTGCAAGGGGAAGAAACTCCTGTCTGGGACATATCAATGGGAACAGGGAGGAATGAGAACTCCTGCAGGCCACAGGAGCAGCACTGCCATGGCAGCTCAGAAACATCTGAGCCAGATACAAGTTTTAAAATGAGAAATGAAAGAGGGAGGCAACACCTGGCAGCAAGTGGCTGCCCCCAACCAGCCCAGGGGTCTGTCCCCACACTGCCACGCTGGGGAGGGGGAAGGCCCCCAGTACTCACCACCCCACTGGTGGACTTGGTCTTCAACTCCAACTTGACCATTCCAAATCCTGAAAACAGAACAGCACACAGGGCCTGTTTTACAACACACAAGCAAGGCTTGTTCCCAGCACACCCAAAGTACCACAGGCAGGGTACACTAAGCCCCAAATAACCGAGACTAAAGCAGGGATCTTGAGCTGAATTTTAGCAAAGCCTGAACTCCAGAGTGGCAGAGACCAGACCACAGTGCTTTTTAGTTTTATGCAGCATATGGATTTGGGATACAAATGCAATCTTTATCACACACAAAACCAGATTTAAAAACCATCACCACTGTTAGTACTGTTCCCAAAAAGGGACTAATGCAAATATTGTGACAATATCTTCTCTAGCTGTACCAGTCAGCTGTTCTGATTAACAGAAAGGTCACTCTACCTCAGGAACCTGTTCATTGCCACATCCAGCCTCCTGTGGCAGCCTACATCACTGTCAGTGATTTAATGCCTCCAAATACAAAAATTGGAAGGTAAAGGGTGGAGCATTTTCCAGAGACTGTTCTGGAGCACATATTAAGGTCAAACTCCTAGCTTTGCCCTCTAACTCTTTGCCACTGCAGCATTTTCATGATACATGCCCAAAGTTCAGATTCAGAAGGTGCCACATGCTCCAAGCCCTGCTGAATTCCTACCACAAGCTATCAGGGGATCTCTGAGGCACTAATGTTTCTGTTGGCATTTTCGAGACGCCTAAGAAAAAAATACAGAAGGTTATCAAACCACAACCATCTCACTTACCATAGCCCTTGTTGAACACATCCCTGGCACACTTTCCCAAGTCACTGTACGTCGGTGGTACAGCCATTGGATCTGAAACACAGGGGAAGCTGTAAGAATCTTGGGTGTAACAGCATCAAACCAAACTATAGCCAAAGCATTTATAAACCTATGACCAGCAGCCTCTGAGTACTTCACTGACAGGGAACTGTCACAAGTCCTCCTTGTGTCACTGTTGCTGTGTCAGAAAGAAGCTCCAACCCAAGGAAGTTCCCAAAGCCAATCCATTACTTGGGAACACTGAACCCAGCTATTTATTACAGCCACCAATGTCAGCCTCACATTCTTCCACTGCAAAAAGAGCTCATGGGAGCCTTATCACTGTTCTGATAACAGCAAACACTGCTTTCCTGGCAGGACCCTTTCTGAAAGGGACCCCAAAGGGCAAAGCAAGGTCAGCACTGAGCAATCCCAAAGGAAAACAGATCTCACTTCCATCTGCACTTGGGACTTCCTAGAAAGCTTTTTCAGAGATGTGTAAGACACAGAGATTTCTGTGCACTGTCCAGTAACCATCAGGATCTCTGCACTGTGCACACACAGCAGCAAAACCTACATTTGCTAATATGGGTCCCTGGTACAACCACTTTGGAGGGCAAAACTCAAAAGGGCAGGCACGTGATGTTACAGCTCACATGACATGTTTCATGTTAGTTACCATAATTCAGGGATTTTGCATCAGAAAATCCACATTAAACAAGTAGGAAAACTCTTCCCCAGTGGAAAATTAGTCTTGCCCTTCTAGATTAAGTTTGCATAACTGTGAAAGCACATCTGCTTCAGGAGAGAAAAGCTATCAGAGATGCTCCTTTCATTTGGTTTTAAGGGTAATTCTTTGCCATTCCTACTTCTGATGCATTTGTTCATATTCTTCTCTGCAACATCCGACACCAGAAACCCCCCACCCCAGCTTCTGAAAACATGTCACCCCCCTACCTCCTTCATGCTTTGCAAACTGTCTCAAACCTTTCTGCCTCCCTGCACAGATGGGTATGGGTTTTAGGGACAAATGGCAGCAGTGCTGAGGAGTCTGGGGCTCTCCACATCAGCTTCACTGAAAACACTTCCAGTAAAGAAGGACTTTACCATCCTGTCCAGCACCTGCTTCATCTAAATCTCACCCTTCTGTGTGACAATCTGTTCAGTTTACACTTCATTTTCACAAGGCTATTGAGACATCTTGAAAATTGTGAGCCTGTTCACTCTCCTAACATGTCTCCTCACTGTACAGCACACAGCTACGTTTTCTGTATTCTACGTGTTTTAATGTGTATGTTAAGTTTTATGAAAATATTTAAACGGTATTTTAAAAAAAGCGATTCTCGACGTTAACTCATACTGAAATACATAAATTCTTTGCTAATAACAAACAGCTCTAAAAATCGTCTAGAGGAACAGAGCTCAGAGTTTCACAACTCTTAACCCTGAATTTGGTCTCCATCAACCAGACGCGATGACAACGGCCCGCAGAACGCGGGGCGAGGCGGGCAAGGAAACACAGGAGGCTGTGGAGTAACTGTAAAACCCCCATACCGTGCACCGGCAGCAGAAGCGCCTCAGGCCGGTTCCAGGGGCGCGGCGGGGCCCGGCCCGTGACCGCCCTCACGCACCTCTCGGCGGCCCCGGGGGCGCGAGCGCCGCCCCCGCCCCGGCGCTGCCGCGTTACGCAACCGGTAACGGCTCCGGGCCCTGCCCGCGACCCCCGGCCCGGCCCTCCCGGCCGGGACAACCGCCGGCGGGACCCCCGCGCCCGGGCCGCAGGGACGGGCCCGCCCCGGGCGGCCCGCGGGGCTGAGGGCGCCG